TACAGGGACTTAAAAGTTATAGAAAACTTGGAGCTGGAGAGATGACTATGCAAGTTGGTAATGGTGCAATAGTTGCAGCACTTGCAGTAGGGGATTTTCATCTAGCTTTACCAAATGGAAACGTTTTGATTTTAAATAGCTGCTATTTTGTACCAACTATGATGTGTAATATAATATCCATATCTTTATTAGATAAAGATGGATATGTATTTAAGTTGGAGAACAATGTTATGAATATCATATTTAATCAAAAGTTGATTGCTTATGGAACATTGTGCAATGGCATCTATATTCTTAATCAAAATACAATTCTGAACACTTATCACACTAATAAAAGAAAGCACTCAGTTATGAATGACGCTTTCTTATGGCATTGCAGACTTGGTCACATTAATAAAGAAAGACTTGGCGAGCTTCATAAGCATGGATATTTAGATCCATTTGACTTTGAGTCTTATGAGACTTGCAAGTCTTGTCTTAAAGGTAAAATGACCAAGACTCCATTTACAGGAACTGGAGTAAGAGTTACAGAACTCTTAGGACTGATACATAGTGATGTATGTGGTCCTATGTCTACAATGGCCAGAGGTGGCTACTCCTACTTTATTACTTTTACTGATGATTTTTCAAGGTTTGGACATGTGTTTTTGATGAAACACAAATCTGAAGCACTTGAGAAATTTATCGAGTACAAAAATGAAGTAGAGAACCAAACGGGCAAGAAAGTTAAAATTCTTCGATCGGATCGAGGAGGTGAATACTTGAGCTCGGAATTCTTAGGTATTTTAAAAGAGAATGGGATTCTCTCTCAGGTTACTCCACCCTTTACACCACAGCTTAACGGCGTGTCAGAAAGAAGGAATCGTACCCTATTAGATATGGTACGTTCCATGATGAGTAACACTGAGTTACCTTTTTCATTCTGGGGGTATGCATTAGAAACAGCAACACACTTACTGAATAGGGTTCCAACTAAAGCAGTGCCTAAACCTCCATATGAGATATGGAGTGGGAAGAAACCACATCTTAATTATATTAAGATTTGGGGATGTCATGCTTATGTAAAGAAGCAAGATCCCAAAAAGTTAGAGGCACGCTCAGTATTATGCAAATTTGTAGGATATCCAAGGAATTCCATTGGATATCAATTCTACCACATCGATGAACAAAAGATAATTGTTTCTCGGCATGCCACCTTCTTAGAGAAGGAATTTCTTGAAAAAGAAATTAGTGGGAGCATGGTAGAACTGGAAGAAATTTCAGAGATACAAAATATTACTGATAAATTAGTGGAACCAGCAAATTCAGTTATACCAGAAGAACCTCAACCACTCCACAGATATCCAAGGCGATCTCATGCACCTAAGACACAATATAATTTTTTAGTTGAAGGTGGCATGTTAGATCACGTCATAGATGATGACGAACCTTTAAGTTATCAGCAAGCCTCTGAGAGTAGGGACTCTGTTGCTTGGCATGATGCAATGAAATCTGAAATAGACTCTATGTACACCAACAAAGTATGGATATTAGACAATGCTCCTAAAGGGATGATACCCATAGGTTGCAAATGGTTGTTTAAGAAAAAGTTGGGTGTAGATGGAAAAGTAGAGACTTTTAAAGCTAGACTGGTAGCTAAAGGTTTTCGTCAAAGACCTGGTTTGGACTACGATGAAACTTTTTCTCCAGTGGCTATGCTCAAGTCTATTCGGATCCTCCTTGCTATAGCTGCTCACTATGACTATGAGATCTGGCAAATGGACGTTAAAACTGCATTTCTAAATGGTGATTTAGAAGAGTGCATATATATGACGCAACCAGAGGGTTTTGTAGTTAGTGGGAGCAGTGGAAAAGCATGTAGATTGCTTAAATCTATTTATGGACTGAAGCAAGCATCACGGAGATGGAACATCTGTTTTGATGATGCTATCAAAGAGTTTGGTTTCATCAAAAATCCAGATGAACCATGTGTGTATAAAAGGATAATTGGGAGTATTATATCGTTTCTTATTTTATATGTAGACGATATACTCTTAATCGGTAATGACATACCGTCATTACAAGCGGTTAAAATTTGGCTATCAAAAAGATTTTCCATGAAAGATTTAGGTGAAGCATCATGTATACTGGGTATTCAGATCTATAGAGATAGATCTAAAAGGATGTTAGGATTATCGCAATCTAGATACATTGGCAAAGTGCTAAAACGGTTTAGCATGAAAAATTCCAAGAAAGGTTTTATACCTACATCTCCTGGAATCTCCCTCTCTAAAAAGATGTCTCCCTGGACTGGTGAAGAGAGGAAACGCATGAGTTTAATTCCTTATGCCTCGGCAGTAGGATCGATCATGTATGCCATGTTATGTACTAGACCAGATATCGCTTATTCACTCAGTTTGGTAAGTAGATACCAATCTGATCATGGAGAAGAGCACTGGAAAGCGGTCAAGAATATACTTAAGTACCTTAAAAGGACTAAAGAGTTATTTTTGATATACGGTAAAAGTGACCTCCGAATGGAGGCTTTTTCCGACTCAAGCTTTCAGAGCGATATCGATGATAGTAAGTCTGTATCAGGATATGTTTTCACCCTCAATAGAGGAGCTGTCAGCTGGAAAAGTTCCAAGCAGGATACAGTAGCAGACTCGACTATGGAAGCTGAATACATTGCAGCTAATGATGCAGCTAAAGAAGCTGTCTGGATGAGGAAGTTCCTTTTAGAGCTGGAAGTTGTTCCCACCATTAAAGATCCAGTACCTTTATACTGTGATAATAATGCTGCAATAGCTCTAACAAAGGAACCCCGATCTCACCATAAGTCCAGACACATTCTGAGGAAGTATCACTTGATCAGGGAGATAGTTGATCGCCGGGAGATCAAGATTGAAAGAGTAGACACAAAAGATAATATAGCAGATCCATTCACAAAGGCAATTGCTCGTTCACAATTTGAGAAACTTGTTGAGCTATTGGGTATTAGATACTATAATTGGCCTTAGTGCAAGTGGGAGTTTGTTAGATATAGGTGCCCTGCAGGCAATTATTGTATATTGTAACAGGACCTATATGTATATAACATCCTTGTTCAAAATGATAGTATGCTATTTTGGTCAGATTTATCTGATGTTCTAAATATACAGATAATGTCCTTAGAATAAATACTAGACTATCAGACATTTCGGATAGTGATCGTAATGAAGAGATCTGATTAGTCGGTAACGTATATTCTAAAATGTTCCTAGTTGATGAAGTGTTGAGATAGGACATCATCACTTTGGTTTAGACTAGTGTATGCTTTATTTCTCCTTTTGAAGGAGATGATCAATCTCTTAGATCATTGATGTGAGACATCAAGATACAGTATACAGGTGACTCATTAGTGAATGAGTTGACTGAACGACTCGCCGAGAACATCTAGTTGGTAATATACTTAACTGTCAAATAGAAGTTCTCAAGTGATATAGTACATAGTAGTCTCTTGACCTGAGGCATGAGTGCAATATCTTATATGTCAGTAAAGATGTATTTAGACTTTTACCTAACCACAGTTCTTATTGAATTGTGCATAACGGTTCTTGTTGGGTACATCCCGAGACATAAGTAGATATTGAGATGCCAAGAAGGGATTCGTCTCTCCCAGTATAGGGGTTGATGTCATAAGATTGTTTGATATAACTATAGCCTGGAAATCCTTGGCCAAGGTGAATAAGATAAACTGAGTGTCAGTTTGATCTTATAGGTTATGAGTTTAATATCAATAAACACTAATCAAGCTATTAGGGTTTGACAGTTTGCCATACCCTAGGCTCAATAGTTTGACATGGTTTGACGAAGAGACCGGACTGTACGGTATTATCATTGAGTGGTCCTGATAAAATTGGATAAGCATCTTGCAGACCTTTATCACAACTTATACCCGGGTGGTCTTCATGTGTAGCTAGCACCTCTGTTGTACTTATGGATATGATCCACTACCGAGTTTTTTAAGTTGGGCCCTAGAGTCACACCAAGCGCGTACTTGAATCCTATGAAACACATTTTATGGAATGATGCGTATGATTGATACGCATATATGATTTCTTCCGGATACACATAAACAGTTATGTATATCGATAAAATCGGAATGCTATGTGCTTAGGAAATGAATTCCAGTATTTTTCCCATAAAGTTAACTTTTAGTCAACTAGTTGACTTTTTGGTCAACAGTTGACTTTTGGTCAACTCTTGATTTATTTGGTCATATAGTGACTAATTAGTTAAAGATTGGAATAATACTATATACCATATTTATGAAATACTGTATTAGTGATAATAATTTGGTATTCTCATTTATAAAATACACATACCATGTATAATGAGTCATGAGATGAGTCACTTAGTGCTATGGTTTGAGCACATGGTTTATTAGCACATGATTTTAAAATGTAATGATTCATAAGATGATTCATTGCATGACTCACTTGATTAATCATTAATTTTTTATGATTCATTGCATGACTCATAGGATGAGTCATTCATATCATGAACACATTTCACTCTATAAATATGAGCTCTTTTTCTTATGGAAAGGTTAATGAAAAATTGGCTAAGTGTTTTTTCCATAAGAGAATAAAAGAGAGCTCTCCTCTTACTAAACTTTAGCAATCTTTGAGCAAGAGGAAGTAGTAGGATTTTAAGAACCCCGGGGTGGATATCTTACCTTGTGTCTTAAAAAGACTCCCATTTTATCAAGCTCACTTGAAGACTTGGAGATCCACTACAAGGAGATTTTTTTACTACAAGGAGCAAGAGCTAGGAGTTATTCGATCTTCCATCGAATCACGCTACGAAAGTATGACTTTCTAACTCTTGTATGCTCACTTAATAATAAGGATCATGTTAGATTTAATTAGACGATCCATATGAATATTTCATGCTCTCTACATGCTTAGTTTTTTTGTACATACATGTCTTCCGCTGTGTATTATGCATGTAGACATAGCACGATTTCCTTCACGTACATAGGTATCTTGTGCTTTCTCGTTTACCCATACTTTCCCTTTTTTTTGGTAGTGGGTTTCCTTGTAAAATTCTGGAAAAGAGGGAGCTTGACTATCATGCCTTGATTTCTGTAATTTAATTAATTTATCATTAAGGTTGTTAATAACTATTTATAGTCTATTTAAAAAGTAAAAACTTATAAAGTAAAACTTACAATTAGTGACATAGCTGCTGCAAATGATCGGGAACCAGATATATGATTGTAGTGCAACTTTGATCGACTCACCTTCGCTTTATAAGATTTTGTCTAATAACCAATATAAAATATATTATTAAAATATATAACAAAAAAAAATTTACATGACAATTTAATAAAGTGATTTCAGATCTATACCTTCCATTCTTCACTTTCCCATACATCGATCATCGATACCCAATCATTAGGTTTCACACGCTTCGGTGGATGGTTCTTGGGATCAGGTACTCCCTTCTCTATTAAACCAAGATAGTAGGCGTGTAACTCATGCTTCCAATTTCTATATATACTCTGATACATTTTCTTTATGGAATCTTGGATGACTAGGTCATTCTCATAGTCCCCGACATCAAATCTTTGCTGCAAGTACAGTTAAGCATGAATATACATATATGATAATAGTAACATATAACCAATGTTAGCAACCAAAAGTTTTCTATGAGTGAAATAGCATCATGGTATTAATACTATCATATATGATAATAGTAACATATAACCAATGTTGGTACCCTAAGGGCAAATGTCATGGATTAGCTTTTTGAATATGAAACAGTGTCCCTTCACAATTGAGGAGAATACTAATAGAGTTAAGAAATTGTAGGCTGATATTGCGACATATTCTAGTTTTGAAAGCAAGCGTATCATTTTCAGTGAAAGGTCTGAAAAAGGCTGAGAATTTCAAATCATCTTCAAGTTGCTTATATATCTTTTAATAATTGTGGTCTGTCTGTTGTTATCTTGGGAATTTATGGCAGTTTCTTATTCATGTTGTTATAACATCAGCCAGCGAATTCTCAGGGAGATCTGCTACAGTTATGGTTGATACCATAAGCTAAAGGCAGGTATACAGATGATACCCTGATAGCCACAAGGCCCATAACAGCCACATGCTTGGTAACTGGCATGTTACATGTGATAGGCATGCATTTTAGTTTGAACACAAGAAATTATGTGTATAAAAAATTCACAATCAGGACTTCTAGAAGATTAACATGCACACAGAAGCATACGGTGCGCATCCGCGTAACATACTTAAATCCAGAATAAAGATTAGCCCAACAAATAACCGATGCAGATGTTTGAACATAGAAGAAATGAGCAGGACGTATGCTGGTAACATACTTAAATCCAGATATCGAAGGGACAGCATAGCAGAGGACGTTGGAACTCCATTGATATTCTGAAAGGCATAAATTTTCATATATAACTACCTCAAAATATGTATTTTCACAGTTACAACAAACTGGAAAACAATTTTCCAGTCCATGTTCATATTCAGCTTTTGGTCGGTAAAACGTATCTGCAAAGAAAAGAAAAGGCCCACACCACAATCAACAAAGAGACAGTAAATTTAGAACTGAAAGTGCAATGTAATTCTTAATTGAGCGGACTGGCAGAAACGTTCAGAAACCAAACCGAAAACCTTTTTTCAACATCTCAAAACATATTTAAAAAAAAAAATCAAATATCAAAATTTCCTCTACATTCACTATGAAGGTAAATCCTTCCTAACCCTCCCGTTCACTCATTTTCATGTGTATCAGACCAAGACAAACACTCTTACCTTAAACATTGCAATAAGAGACCAGCTGCGACAAAAACACAGCATTCCAGTATAAGTTGGATAAATAATGATATCAGAGAGCTATCCATTATGAGACAAAACATTAAGTTATTTGAATAATCGTTTTCATAATCAACTGGTTATTCCAGAGGTCACACACATCAATCATCCACTGAAATTCTTCAAACTATATTAAAAGCATCTCTAAAATGCATAAAATGATCCCTCACATCAATCATCAACACGGAATTCTTCAAACTATATTAAAGCATATCTAAAACGCACACAAAATACTCAATTAAAAAAAACAAAATAAGATTTTCTAACAGATCAGCAGAGCAGCCAACAACACTATAAAGCACTAAGTGAACAGATTGTAGGAAAAAAAATAGATGACATGAATATGGATCAGCTGCAATATCAGGGCAATAAGTGTCCAGGTATCATGAACTGTAAAAAAATAATAAAAAAAAGAAAAAAAAAGAACAGACTGGGAAACAAGGAAAACAAATAAATAGCATGATGTTTACCCTGCACTTTGACAGATTGCATTTGCAAAATGTGTGTGTATAATGTATTGCAAGTTGTTATTTATAATTCTTGAAAAATACACAAAGAGAAGGTGCCTATGAAAAAGAGAATAGAAAGTTTAACTAACTGAGATCTAAAATGATCCATGATTCATTTTAGATCTAACCTGGATTCTCCTTGCATAGAAGTTAAAGCACTCAAGTGATCCATGCTTCATGCACATGAACAAACAAACAACAAAGAATATATTACCCAATATATGTGATGAAGAAGTGAATATCATTAAAGAATGATTAAAAAAATACCCGAACTCTCATAATGATCGCCTCTCGACTCCCAGCATCAATATTGTCCCAACCACAATTGCGAACCAGTGCAGATGATCGGATCTCCTTCCCAATCTCATTCGCGAGGGATGTCGCATGCTCCCCCTCCGGTGCTCCACTCGAGGAAGGGATCGGAACTGGAATTGCACGACCCAATTGTCTCACCAATCTCTCTATCCCCTTCCCTCGTGTTGCACCGCGTACATTTATACGGGCCGATGGTACCGATCCTACAAAAACACGATTACATCATAAAGAAATGAAAACAAACTTTAAATGTGATCCATGTATAAGTTCAAGAAAAAGACAAAGAAAACAATACCTGTAAGAATAAAATTGTCTAGCTTATGACCAACATAAGAGTACAACACCTACTATTTTAAACCAAAAATCAAAACTCATGATAAATATCGCAACCCTAACACTTCATAGTTCTACAACAATTACACCCAAAAACCCTAAAAACCTCAACTTTCTCACCTGACTCGCAGCAACCCTCAACAAGTTGTATAAAAATATATTTACTTTATATCAAAGGAGTGTGCTCCACTAAGAAGTCCTCAAAAACTTGGAGCATCGCCAGAAACATATAGCAATAATATTTATTGATAATACTTTAAATTTTCAATAATTGAATAACACTTAAATTATGACGGGTAGATAATCTAACATTACCTACGCTGCTCCCGATCGTTTGAGGGCTTTCTAGTTGGTCGGGCTGGGCAATGGATGATGGCTCGGGGTGGGGCAGCTCGCTACAGGTACGCTAGGGTGGCTGGTTCGAAGCAACCAAGATCCTCCTCTCGGGCACAAACTTGGGCACAGAAGTTGATGGTATGACATTTTTGGACCTGCGTCCTGGAGCCATACGTGCTACTTGTTATAATTGAGTAAAATGAATTATTAGTACACATAATGAAAAGAAATTAATAACAAATAATAATAAGTAATGGCAAGGATAAGTAATTACAAGTAACAATTAATGACAATACACAAATAGATATTATCTCTTCTAAATCATCATTGTCATCTTCACTCGATGAGCTAACCAATTTATCATCCATAGGCGGTTGGTAATCATCATCATCCTCACAAACCTTTTTTTTATTGCCTTTACTTTTCCTCTCATGCATTGGCAACGTCCTGGAAATTGTTTGTGAAAGTGGTGATATTCCCAAAGCTCTCATTCTCTCTATATTCTCATCTATTGTTTTCCTCCTTCTTGCCTCATATATTTCTGCCATTTTTGGTGTAGAGCCCGGTTTGACCCATAATTTTTTTCCACTGTGCATATTTGATAACTATGAAAAAAATTACATGTTAGAAAATATAAATTACGCCAAGTTGTAACATTAAACTTTTAGATCTAACTGATAGAATGTAATTATGTTGCGTTCAAACAATATTATTTCTTGATATTTGTTCATTTACGAAACAAAAACATATACTACACATCATAATCCATATCAGGGTCTATATCTAAGTCAGACTGATTATCCAGATTATCTTCTTCATCATCGCCATACTCTTCCATCTAAGTCAGACTGATTATCCAGATTATCTTCTTCATCATCGCCATACTCTTCCATTGTCTGATCATTGTCAACTCCATACTCCGTATTTAGGTCAGCATTGTGAATGATAACGGGACCAATATCATCCCTATAATAAGGATAATTTATAGTAGGCTCGATGAGAATTGGAACAACGACAGTGGATTCAACTTGTTGAAATGCATCGTTAAGCATATCATCATGGACTTGTTCCAGTACATCCCACACACTCCTTTGCTGGACCCATTCTACGACTTTCCAATGAGCACCCAATTTGGTATCATCAATGTAAAATACTTGCTTCACATGCTCTGGTAGCACAAATGGATCATTTTGATACCAACGACCCCTAACATCGATACTTGTGATATGTGCATCATTTTGATACCAACGACCCCTAACATCGATACTGGTACTCACATTGGAACAGAACAACCTTACCCCCATGCAAATATTTCAGCTCCCAGACTTTGCATAAGTAACCGTAAAAGTCAATTGTTTTTCCATCGTGATCCCCTTCCACAACCAAACCACTATTTTGACTCTTACGATGGTTGTCGCGATCTTTAGTGTGGAACCGAACGCCATTACAAATGCACCCTTCATAGAGATGAACTAATATATCTGGACCATTTGCTAATGACCATAATTCATCAGTTGCCCTTGGTGACCCGATAGTTCGCAAATGATTTATCTACATAAACATGTTACAAGTGCATTAGGTATTCAATAATGTTAATTTAATTTTAATTTATAAAATAACTTATGTGTATTTCATGTAACTTACATGTTGTTTGAACCATTTTGAAAATTCTTTTTGTTGTATCTGAGTAATATCATGTCCTCTAGAATTTTGGATCGTAGCCTTGTGTTC